CCCAGTGTTGAGGGGGCTTTGGATGCAGACAGAATTGGTATCATGCTGCTTTCTGATCACCCCTAACCCGAGCAACCGTATCTGTGCTGTGAACAAGGTCATCTCCAAGATGAAAATGAGTCCACTTTTATCTTCACTGTACCTAAACAAAATGCAGAAGTCATCTAATTGCATTTGTGAGGTGTTTTCGTAGTAGACCCAGCCCTTTCATATTCATAAGCCTCTCAAATTCTCACAATTCTTGATTTCAGTGTGATGGATGCTAAAAAGGGCAAGGGCTTCTGAGAGAGTCAGGTGGCCTCTATGCCCCTGGGGGCCTTCTTCCCAAAGACCTATTTCCTAACCTGACTTAAGGAGCCCATTGGAGGGATGTCTCAGTGGCTCTGTGACTGAGCGTCTGTCTTTGGCTCAGGTCATGATCACGGGATTCTGGGATTGAGTCCCACATCAGGCTCCCTGCAGGGAGCCTGCTTCTCCCTCTGCCTATGTCTCTGCTTCTCTCTCTGTGTGTCTCTCATGAATAAGTGGATAAAATATATTTTTAAAGGATCTCATTGGGACAGCCTGGGTGGCTCAACGGTTTAGCTTCACCTTCAGCACAGGGCTTGATCCTGGACACCCGGGATCGAATCCCATGTCGGGCTCCCTGCGTGGAGCCTGCTTCTTCCTCTGCCTGTGTCTCTGCCTCTCTTTGTGTGTTTCTCTCATGAATAAATAAATAAAATCTTAAAAAAAATAAAGGATCCCATTGGAAGGTGGTATGGAAGAAGTTGAAACTCTAGGCCACCAAACAAAATATTTCCTGGTGCTCCTCACCTCCCACAACCAAGAGACATGTTGGGGGTGGAAGCATGAGCTCTGGTGCTTGGGACCAATCATGATAGCCACACACACTTCCTGGGGCAGTACTGGAAGGGAAGCAAAAAGTGGGTATAAAAAGTGCAATGGCCAACCTAAGGGCAGAATAACAGCGAAATGCCTACATAAATCTGATGCATCCCACCTCACTGAGGTAGGGTAGAGCCATAAAGAGCTAATTAGAAGGACAGTTGGGCAACATGGACAATGCTTCTGATGAGGGTTCCATGCAAAAAAGCACAGTACAAAATTGTATCTGTGCTGAACTTTATAAACCCTGTAAAAGTATGTCTGCACACGAGCAAGGACAGGAAGGGAATTGTGGAAAAAGCAAACCTTGATTTATTGTGAGTGGAAGGCCTGTTGGTGAGTTATTCTTTCCCTTAGATTTCCACTAATGTTGTTATAACATCATTTGTGCAAAGAAAAATAAAAACCATTAACATATAGAACAATTGCACTAGCAAATCATTCTGTCAGGCTGAAGAAACCAAATCATATCATTTCTCTGAGCCAGCAAACACACTTGAAAGACATCACTCCAAGAGCAAAGGCCTCTTTTTACAGAAAGAAGCAACTACAGGAAATGGGGAGATGTGTGGATTTAGTGTGGGCAGCCTCAGGTTTAAATCCAAGCTCTGAGCCTTACTTTTGAGTTTTGGAGGGGGGATAGAGTTTATTTCACCCCTGGTACCCTCCTTTTCTTCATCTGGAATGTGAAGATACTAATAATATCCATCACCCCTTACTGGATGGAGGATGTTGCACAGGGCTTTGAGTGGTGGGAAATGCTGCCTGGTGTAAAGCCTTCTCCTGGCATGTATACAAATACTTTGAGACAAAAGCATTAGGCACTGTTTGCCGCTGTCCCGCATCAGTTGACAGCAGAGTTAGGTTGGCCTGTGCTGCAAGGTCTTGTCTTCTCTGAGCACTGGATGCCACTGAAATTTGATTAAGCCAGTCAAGCTTTCCGGTTTTAGCTAGGGTTGGGGAATAATTGGTAAAATATCATGGGCTTTCCCGTTCCTCTAAAATGCTTAAACTTCATGGAGAGAAGATTAGAATAATTGATAAAGAACATGACAAAGACTTTTTCAGCTGCTCTGACTCTCAGCCAGACTTGGCGTACTAGCTGTACGCCTTCAGGCAAGTAACCTAAGCTCTCGGGATGCCCATTACCTCCTTGGTCTGGTGGAATTAGTAGTGCCTGCCTCGGCATGGTTGTGAGAATGAAATGAGGTTCTGGCATGTAGTGAGCAAAGAGCATGGGTCTGCTGCCTTTATTACTGCTTGCAACTGTCAGAGTAGTGGGGTGCCTAGGTGGCTCAGTTGGTCAAGCATCCAACTCTTGGTTTTGGCTCAGGTCATGATCTCATGGGTTGTGAGCTTGAGCCCAGTGTTGGGTTCCATGCTCAGCAGGGAGTCTGCTTAAGATTCTCTCTCCCTTTGTCCCTCCCCCTGCTTGCTCTCTCTCTTTCAAATAATAAATCTTTACAAAATACTGTGAGAGTAAGAAGGATCTTTAGGGATCACCAAATCAAGGGTTTCTCAACGAGTGTGGAGAGGGGTGTGGAGGGAGTCTTGGGGGAGCACAGTGTGTATATATTATTATTTTTGCCTGTCAGCATTGAAAAATCCTCTGTGGGAAAGACAGACTTTTTGCCTAGCATGGTGGGACCCAGGTATCTTAATAAAGGTGAGATATGTATTTGGAAACCACTCATCTGGGCAGCCTGGGTGGCTCAGCGGTTTAGCGCCTGCCTTCAGCCCAGGGCGTGATCCTGGAGTCCCAGGATCCAGTCCCACATCGGGCTCCCTGCATGGAGCCTGCTTCTCCCTCTGCCTGTCTCTGCCTCTCTCTCTTTGTGTCTTTCATGAATAAATAAATAAAATCTTTAAAAAAAAAAAAAAAAGAAACCACTCATCTCCCACACAACCTTCATTTTACAGACCCAAGAGGTAAGGTGATATGCCCAAGGTCACCAGTGATTAATGTGGGCCACACAGTCCAGCTGCTATCCCCCCACCACACCGCTGTCACCACTGCCCAGGAGTGGTCCCCATGTCCTCTGGGATTTCCCCATTGCCATGGTGGAGATGCCCTGTGCCACATGGCCATGTCCATATGACCATTATCAACCTGAGAGAAACCAGACAAGACTCTGACATTGAGAAGAAGCAAGTGATGTTTGAGATAATAAGGAGAGATGTTCCTGGTAGGGAGTCGTGTACACTGACAGGTCAGCGCCGCATCACCCCCGGCAGTACTTCCAAACAATCTGAGCTAAGGCAGCCTCTTAAATGCCATCTGCATACCTGTGGGGTAAATGGTCTTTGATGAAACCATCATCTCTCTCAATAGCAGATTTCCTGTTTAAAAAGTCAATCTCCTGTCAAATTCTCTGAGAGCACAGATGGAGGGTTGGGGGGATCCTGGGAGCAGGATGAGGCTCTCAATCGCTCCCTGTCATCTGGGTGGAGTGTGTTCTTTGAGTCTACTTTCTGGCATTGGAGATGTCACCTCTGGCACAGAGCCACCTCTATGAATTCCTCTTGTGAACTTTGTAGGCTTGGGGGTCAGGCAGGTGCTGCGGTCTTAGGCTTGCCTCAGAGAAGATATGGCCCTCTCCTGTGCCACATAATGGATAAAAGGCGCATACCATCTCTAGCACACTGCTCCTTTGAAATATTCTGACCCACCCAGCAGCCTGGGGCCTTGCTCCTGCTTCAGGGACTGGATTTCTGGCTTCCGTGACTTAGCTCCTTATACCTCTGCCTTGGCTTTTATTGACAAACACTGATCCTTCCACCTTCTCCCTTTCCATACACTTGGGTATCTCCACCCCCACACCATGACTATCTTCCTGGACATCTGCCCCAGCCTTTGGTCTGTTACCAGCTCCCTCCTATTGTCTGGGTGCTACAGAGCCTGGCTTGGGGGATGGGAGCTGTCTGCTCAGAGTAAAGAGCAAAACTGGAAAAGTTGAGATCTAATTTGGTGGTCACAGAGCCCAAGGTCACAGCGCTGGCTCTTAGGATGAAGATAGCCCCCATTCCTACCATTGCCAGGCCTCCAACCCCTCAAACATGAGATCTGTGTTATGGAAACTGACACACACACCAACCATTCCCCACCCCTTACCACCCAGGACAACAGTTTGCCCTGACTCCACCAAAAAGAGCTCAAAAACCTGAGTCAGGGGAACAAAAGACAAATACCAGGCAAGACTCTAAGCTATAGACTCTTGCCATCCCAGACATGGCCTTGGCCATGCATGATGGTGGCTCCTACTGCAGCAAAAGCAGCCAGCTCCAGCCCAGAGGGGGCCAGATGAGAAGTGACTGCTGAGGTTGATGACACATTCAGGCCTGTGTGAGGCGAGCCCAGGGACGATAGCCAATTGGAGACCAAGCTGAGAATAAGACTAACGATGTTTCTGAAGGGATGCCCTCCTGAGCCTTAGGTGGAGGTCCAGCAGGTTCAGGAGGAATACTAGAAGATACAGGCCAGCCACAGCTTAGCCTCTTCCAAACCAAACAGCATTCTAAGCACTTTTTAAAAAAGATTTTATTTATTTATTAGAGACACACACAGAGAGAGAGGCAGAGACATTCACAGAAGGAGAAGCAGGCTTCCGGTGGGAAGCCCAATGTGGGACTCAATCCCAGGACCCCGGGATCATGACCTGAGTCAAAGACAGACACTCAACCACTGAGCCACCCAGGTACCCCACATTCTAAGCACTTTGCAGATATTAACTCATTCGATGCACACAACAACCTTATAGTATACTATATAGTAAATAAGTACTTCTATTATCTCCTAAAGGAGCTATTTGAATTAGAAACTGCAAATTCTATAACAAATATATTGATCAGAAATTGAGGCCCCGGGGGGATTAAGTAACTTGCCCAGGGCACGCAGGAGGAGACTGAGATTTGAGCCCAGGCAGTAGGGCTTCCAAGTCTGTCTTCTTAGCTGCAATGCCAATCTGCCAACAAGAGGAAGCTAAGAGAGTCGGGCCCCCTTGGCCCTCCACCCACTCTCTGGGTTAAGACTGGACTTCAGTCTCAACTAAGAATTAGCAGATGATTCTCAACCCAGAGAGATTGCAAATACTGTCAATGTCTGGGCTTCCCACCTGAGAAATCCAGATTCAGTTGGTCTGGGATGAAGTCCAGCCTGTGGAGAATGCAGAGGGCAGGGTGAACAGCAGTTTGGGAGAAGCTCCTCAACTTAAAAACACACAGCATCAGGGTACCTGGGTGGCTCAGTGGTTAAGCGTCTGCCTTCAGCTCAGGTCATGATCCTAGGGTCCTGGGATCGAGTCTTGTGTTGAGCTCCCTGCAGGGAGCCTGCTTTTCCCTCTGCCTCTCTCTGTGTGTCTCTCACGAATAAATAAGTAAAATCTTAAACACACACACTCTCTCTCACACACACATACACACACACAGCACCTCTCCCATCCTGACAAACAGCTACCTCCCAGCTCTGCCTCACCCTCCAGTTATGACCCTATCTCTTTCCTAACTACAACCAGACTTCCGGAGAGGTGTCTCCACTTCCCTCCCACTTCCCTCCTTAACCTGCTGTGGGTTGGCCTTCAGGAAGCCAGCCTTGCCAAGGTTACCCTTTCAGTGTTGACACAGCAGAACATTCACTGCTTGGGCCTCAGCCTACTTAAATCCTTGAATGCAGATGACAACATCAGCGGTCCTTGCTTCTAGAAACTCACCCTCTCCCAACTCTGGGAACACAATGCGTTCTCCTCATCTGGGAGTTTTACTCATCTTTTTTTTTTAAGATTTATTTATTTATTCATGAGACAGAGCGAGAGAGAGAGAAGGAGAGAGAGAGAGGCAGAGACACAGGCAGAGGGAGAAGCAGGCTACATGCAAGGGAGCCCAACGCGGGATTCGATCCCAGGTCTCCAGGATCACACCCCCGGCTGAAGGCGGCGCTAAACCGCTAAGCCACCCGGGCTTCCCTCACTCATCTTTTTAGATGGCTTTTTGTAACAAGCCATGCAAATAGGTTCTGAAGATGGGGCCTCAGGAGACCCAGCCCTGCCCCTGCCCTTGAGGAGTTGAGAGTCTTATCATCACTGGAGGCACTCAGTGCCCTTGAGGCAACAAAGTGGTTCCCCTAAGAGAAGCCCTGACTCCTTCCTTCAAGCTACTTCCCTCTCTGCATCTCTGGCAAAAATGAGAAAGAGAAGGGTGCCTGGGTGGCTCAGTCTGTGAAGCCTTTGCCTTTGGCTCATCATGATCTCAGAATCCTGGGATCAAGCCCCATATCAGGCTCCCTGCTCTGTGGGGATCCTGCTTCTCCCTCTCCTGCTCCCTCTGCTGTTCCTCTGCTTGTTCTCTCTCTCTCTCTCTCTCTCTCTCTCTCTCTCTCTCTGTCAAATGAATAAATAAAATCTTCTTTAAAAATGAAAAAGAGAACAAACTTCCAGCGACATCTCTTTTCACCCTGGGAGCAAGAACCCAGGATGCCTCCCTTCTGATTAGAAGATAATTGGTGACCAAGACGAGGTGTGGTTTATCTACCTGTGTTCATTTTGCCAGTAGGGTCATGGAGTCCCTTTGTAATGAGCTTCTGGCACAGGTGACCTGTTTCCTGGGTCCTTATTCTTCTAAACACACAGAGACAATTTTGAACAGGATTGGTTTTATTTTTTTTTATTTTTTGAGAATGAGAAAGACAGAAAGAGAGCAGCAGGAGAGGGGAAAGGGAGAAGAAGAGAGAGAACCCCAAGCAGGCTCCAAAACCCCTGAGATCATGACCCAAGCCAAAATCAAGAGTTGGACCTTCAACTGACTGAGCCCCCCAGGCGCCCCTGAACAAGATATGCTTTAAGTGTTTTCGAGCCAATGATTCCCTCATGCTTTGTGCCCTGGGAAATAGAATCTGCTATTGCTAGAATCTGCAGTGTGCTGGCAAGATGGAGGTGGGAGAAGTGGTGAAGAAGGCCAGCAGGGTTCTCCACCTGATGCCATGGAGAGCAGGACTCGATGCTGGATCTCACTAATCTCTGGCTGTTGGACATTGGAAAAGCCTCTTTCCCTCTCTGAGCCTCAGCTCTCTCCCTGTTACTGGGACTACCATCATTCATACCTGCACCTGTAGTGAGGATGCTGGGAGGTGACCTCTTCGTGCTGTAGGCGTGATCCTCTGCCAGAGTAGGCACTCACCAAGAGGTGGGGAAACTGTATTGAACTGCATTCAACTGTGGTGCACGGGCTTGGTCTGGGCCAGGAGAGAAAGTGTGTGTGTGTGCAAGAGAGACTTGCAAAAAACAAGGCCTATCTCTGTGCACGTCTCTCCTCTGGGAAGGAAGGGGCCCACACAGTGACAATAGACCAGGGGCGCTGACTCAGACAGCCAGTTCCTGCTCACTTCCCCTCACTACAGGACAGCGGCTGGGCTGAACTGGAGGTCAGCCCTCTGTGGGGCTCTGACTCGGGCCTTTGGCTGAGAACCTTACCTAGAGAAAGACAGCACACCTCGCTGGTCTGCTGGGACGGGACCCACTGAAGCAGTGTGGCTGGGGGTGGGTGGTGGGGGCAGAAGAAGTAGGAAAGTAGAGAGAGGAACCTCACTTGTTGAATCCAGCGTTGCTTTCCCTGGGCAGTGCAGCCCAGGGACCCCTGCACAGGCACCAGAGCTTAAGACCAATGGGGCCAAACTGACTTAGCTGGGGTGCAGGGAAACAGAGTTCTGGAGGAGTCCCTGGGTACCTACGGAGGAGCCTGGGGACGGGGCTTGGAGCAGTGTGGGACCCCTCGGCCCCCTGCCTGCAGTGCAGGCCCACAACACACTTCCTCACATGAGGATTTACTGGATGTGGCACCTTGGTCATCCACACCTCTAGGATGGAGAGAGCCGAGTCTGTCACCCTCTTCTGGAGCCGGGGAGGTGAGTCATTGAGGGAGAAGGGTCTCATGCTCAGCAGCCCCAGCCGTCTGTGGGTTCACTTAGTACTGGAGGTATGCAAGGAGGGGCAGCACGACCACTTGGCTGAGGTGCTATAAAAGGAATTCAGATTTGGGTGGCTCTGGAGGAAGAGAGGGTGGATGTGATCACATCCGAACCCTGATAATCTGGGATTCTAAAGGGATATAAAAGCGACCAAGGAGCTGTGTGTGTGTGTGTGTGTGTGTGTGTGTGTGTGTGTGTGTGTGTAAGGTGTAAGAAATACCATAAAGCTTATTTTCTATAAATTGACTTCACGTACTTTCTGCTCATTTAGAAGGGGAAAATGCCATAGGTCAATCTTGGAGTTTTACCCCTTCCTGGACTCTTGCTGAAATGCTAATTTTTTTTCAATACCAAAGAATAGGGGCAGGGAGGGGCAGGAAAGAGATGCCTATCTTAACACTGGTCCTCCTTTCACACAGGTTACTAGTGAGGGACCCAGAGCTTTCTCACCCCAGTTCCAGCCAAATCTCCTGGCATTAGGGTGGAATAACATTCAGAGTCCTGAGGCACACCAGCTCCCCTCTCTGGCTTGGGCAGAGAGGATGAGCCTGGACAGGGGAGGTGATGCTGCAGTCCAGTCGCCTGCCCTTGCAAATGGACCGGAGGCTCCAGTCCCGGCTGCTGAGGTAGCTGGCAGGGCAGTATGTGAGATCATGCTGTGTCTCTGGGGTTCTAGGTGGTCCTTCGTGGCAAGAATGTGCTCAAGGGGAGTCTATGAGCTAAAGGAGCTTGACAAGTATAGTGATGGGACCAAGAGCAAAATACGGTGAGGACCACATGCTGTTTGGCATAGAGAAGAAATCACAGGAAAGTAGTCTTTGGTCTTCAGACCTTTGAAGAGCTGTCACAGCGGGATGGGAGTAGATGGGTCAGAGGGGGCTCAGGCGGTGGAGCTGGAGCCTGTGGATAAGGAGGGACTTTCTAGCAGCCTCCTCAGGGGCAGTCTTGAAAAGGAGTGAGGAGTCTGGGGGAGTCTTTGGACAGGTTGCCTTTCTCACAGTCACCAGGCAGGCCCTTGGGAAGACAAGGGTGAGGGAGAGCTGGCTTTCCTCCTCTGAGGAGGAGGAGGGGGAAAGAGGCCCTCACCTAGGGATGCAGGCTTGGCCCCACCCTGCACTGCATTCCCTCCTCCCACCTCCACCCTCCACTGATAACTCCCTCCCGGGTACCCTGTCTCTCTCTCTCCCTTTGGGCTCCCTGCTTCCACTCTTGCCCCCTCCAATCATTGTCCACTCTGCAGCCAGAGCACAACTTGATAAAATGGACCTGGTGGCTCCAGGTCCTCTCATGGCCACCCACTGCCTACTGGTAAAAGTCCAAGGTGTATTTCTCTTCTCTTTCACTTCCTTGCTACTTTTTAAAAACAGAAAAGAGATAGCATCATTTCTCACTAACGCAGCTCTGACATTTCATAAATCTATGTCCTAGACAACTGGAAAGAGCTATATTTAACCTTCTGCCTTGTAGCTTTTAATGTAGGGACTTGCTTCAGGCACTGCCTTCTTTTTTTTTGGGGGGGGGTTAAATTTTTTTTAATAAATTAATTTTTATTGGTGTTCAATTTACCAACATACAGAATAACATCCAGTGCTCATCCCGTCAAGTGTCCCCCTCAGTGCCCGTCACCCATTCACCCCCACCCCCCGCCCTCCTCCCCCTCCACCACCCCTAGTTCCTTTCCCAGAGTTAGGAGTCTTTATGTTCTGTGTCCCTTTCTGATATTTCCCACACATTTCTTCTCCCTTCCCTTATATTCCCTTTCACTATTATTCATATTCCCCAAATGAATGAGAACATACACTGTTTGTCCTTCTCCGATTGACTTACTTCACTCAGCATAATACCCTCCAGTTCCATCCACGTTGAAGCAAATGGTGGGTATTTGTCGTTTCTAATGGCTGAGTAATATTCCATTGTATACATAAACCACATCTTCTTTATCCATTCATCTTTCGATGGACACCGAGGCTCCTTCCACAGTTTGGCTATTGTGGACATGGCTGCTAGAAACATCGGGGTGCAGGTGTCCCGGCGTTTCATTGCATCTGAATCTTTGGGGTAAATCCCTAACAGCAGGCACTGCCTTCTAATGCCACAGGAGACCAGAGCTTTTCTTTGTTCTCTGCAAGCTAGAGGCAGCCTCTGCCTTCAGCAGGATGATGCGAGCTGCTGGGTTGGCCAGCTGCCTCAGAACACCCACCTTCCTCTCTCTCTGTCCAGGGGAAGGAGGTCCCCGTCCTATCCCCTGGCATGTGCTCCTTCATCTTTCTTATCTGCAAATACTTGAAAGACTCCTTATGAACCCCATAGCTGGAGAAGGGGAACAGCAGGTGAGCACGAGAATAGGACACAGGACAGGGCCAGGAGA